AAGCAGCAGGACTCCACAATTTGCAGCCTCAGAGTTATAAAGGTGAAGGAATTTGCTTTGAGAAAAATGCCCCAGAGAACCAGTTTCCAAAATGGCGACAGCTACACCATGTTTCAGAATGGCAACGGCCTAGGGAAGTTGTTCCAAAATGGCAGCCTAGTGGACCTGTTCCAAAATGGTGGCAGCCTACAGAATTTGTTCCTCTGGATTGGGTTCAGAGTGCTCAGCAATCCAGGAACTTGACCCTTACAGCGAAGAGAGAGGGAAGACTGGCTACTACTACTCCAGCTGGCAGCAGACCTTGGCATCATCCATGTGATGCTGGTTTTAGGCACATGCAGAATGCAAGCGTTGTGGGGTCAGGAAGGCTTCCACCCAGATTTCAGAAGAAGGGCTGGGAGGCCAGGCAGTGTGCCCCTGAGAGGGCAATGTATGAAGCTGTGAGTGTGAACCTGAAGGTGCATTGGAGACTCCAGAAGTTTGGAGAAGCCAGGAGCATGGATTGTCTAAGGAAAGCTGCACGGAGGAAGCCGACCCAGCCCAAGAGAGAAGCCATTCGAGCTACAACCACCAAAAGTGCCATGGGGCGGAGCCACAAAACCCTCTGGAATTCACAACTTGCCCAGGTTGCCTCAGATGCTGGAAATGAAACTATGGAATTTAATGCTTCCCCTACTGGATTCTGGACTTACTTTGGTCCCTTTCCTTTGTATCCTCCTGTTTGCACCTTCTGGAATGGAAATGTCTGTCTTGTGCCATTGAATGTTGGAAGTGTTTGACTTTCTTTTCACTTGTACAGGGGCCTGCAGCTAAGAGTTTGCCTTACATCTCAGAGGAGACTTGGGACTTGGACTTTTCAGAAACGCTAAAACTGTTAGGAGTTTGGCAACAATTAGAGATGGACTAAATGGCTTTTGGGTAAAGGAATGTACATGAGTCTCTGGGGGGCCAGGGGCGGAATGTTAGGGTTTGGGTCCAGATGTCCCCCCAAAGCCTCATGTGGTCATAGGCTTGATCTAGTGTGGTGAAGTTGGAATTGATTCATGGTGCAATGGTAGGCTAAAGGGCACTAGGATTAGGGTGTGAGTGCTACCCACCCTAAGTTATCTGAATAAAATATAAGGGGCAGGGAGGCATTGTTAACTCTCTGGTTACCTTTGCTGCCTTGTGTGTGCCAGGGTATTTCTGCTCTGCTATGCCTGTTTGTCATCCCTGCCTTGGAGGTGGCTGATTATGGACTGAAACCTCTATGAATCATAAGCCAAATAAACAAATCCCTTCCCCTTTAAAGAGAAAAAAGAAAAGGGCTGGAGGTATCCTGAACTGCTATGAAGGACAGGGGCGATGATCCCTCTGGCTACTTACGGCTGAAGGGGGTCATTGTTGTGATCAGCAGTCAGAGTTATTCTATTTGATGAAAGCCTAAAATCAGATATTTTGCATTTGTTAAAGAAAAACAACTCCCCGCCCTACAGCCATATGAGTGTGTCTTTGTTCTGGTACCAGCAAACTGAATTTGTTGCTGTAGATGACAAGCATTAGTTCAGCTAATAATACTATTCTGTTACGCAGCTTACTGTAAAATACATTGTTAACCTTAATTTTTTAAAAAGGATTAGGCTTGTGTTTTTTCATTTAGAAAAACAAACTTATGTATGGACTATCCACTGAAAGTCTGAGAGCTCAGGTTGGAAAGTTGTTGCTTCCTTTTTGTGATTCTGCTTTCTAGATAAAAATGCAATATGTAATTGGCAGACAATGTGGTTTTATACAGTAACAATTTTTTTTATTTTTAGTAACAATATTTTTAAAGTTAGACATTCACTATATAGTTTGACCACCCCTACTACAGCAGGAGTATACCAATTCCTGCCCTAGGTAACTCCCTTGAGAATAAAGTCAGTGGAACTTTATGTCTCCCAAATATAAAATTGTGAGCCCTATTTCATATGTACATACATACGTATATGTGTATTTAAACTCGCCCCCAATTTGTACCTTTGTCTTAGCAGCACTGATTTTTTTTCCTACTATGTTTTCCTGGAAGCTACAAACATTGGTCATGCCTGATTTTGTTATGGAAGACAAACTAACCATCAGCATGCATATATAACATTGTTTTCTAAGGAATGACAATATCCTGTCACTAGAGACTGAAGTGTTTGAAGTCTGATAGAAAATGTTAGGAGTACATTTTACAACAATAGTAAAAACAGCAAGGACAGTTTGAATCAGAAGGGGGGGGCCGAACAGTTTGTAATAGCTAAAGCTTGGAAACAGCCCAAGTGCCCATCAACTGGAAACTGGATAAAGAAGATGTGGTTTTGGCCTGGGATTTAGCTCAGTGGTTTCGCCACCTGCTGCTCAAGTGCAAGGATCCGAGTTCGATCCCCGGTACCAAAAAAAAGAAGAAGATGTGGTTTTTTTATAAAATAGAGTACTACTCAGCCATAAAGAATGAGAAACTAGAGACATTTATAGCTAAATGGATGCATATTGAGGCCATACTCTTAAGTGAAATAAATAGGACACACGTGTAAATACCAAATAGTTTCTCTGGTGTGAGAAACTGAAAGTGTAAATAAGGATTAAAATGATTAAAATGAATAATTGATAATTTGAAATATTAAAAGGTCCAAAGGTGTAGGGGTGGAAGGAGGGGAAGGGAAAGGAAAAATTATGAGAAAAGAAAAAAAAATGGAAACGAAATCTATGTAAATAGGGAAGGGTGGAGAGGGTGAAGGGTGCACAGGTAATGGGGGAAAAAAAATAAGAACTAAGATACAGCATGTACAGGTACAAGCACCCAATGATAAATGAAAATGTATTGTATACCTAAAATGTACCAATAAAAGAATTAAAAAAAAAAATAAGTGGGACCGAGTCATGGAATACAGAGCATCTGTCAGGGGTAGGCTGAAGTCTGCAAGTTTAGCTGGGATTGTATGTTTCTCTCCAATGAGCTCCTTAATGGGAAACATTCTTTCCTGTATGGCTTCATAAAGTTATTGGCAGACCCTCTAGAGCTTTTGATCCAAGATCTAAACTAGGAAGTATTAATATAGAAACATGATTCATGGATTGGGAAATCATGCTTTAGAAATTCATACTTCGAGAATACATTTTTGTTAAAGGAGCATAGCACTTTAAGAAACTGGATTAACTCAATGTCGATTCGTTTAGTTGTAGCACACATACAAATAAAGTTAACTATAATGCAGCAAGAGAGTCTAAAGGAAAACAGATAAAAAACGTACAGTTGGATATTTAGTTTTCTCTAGTCACAGTGCTGTCTAGAATAGAGCTTTCATCAATAGCAGATTTCTCCGTTCATAATTACACTGACAAACCTCTAGAGCATGCAACTTTACTACATAATTTTTAACCAGATAAATTAAAACTTTGGTATTTTCCTCACCCATAGAGGTGAGGAAAAATTAAAATTCTACAGATAATTTTAAATAAAAGTTTAGAGATTATTTTTAGAATAAGTTTACTGTATTGAAAATAGAGAAAAATGTCCTCTGCATCTTTTCAATTCCTTGTGAGACATCAGACTTAACAAAACTTATTCAAAAAGCCAACTTTTTTCAGAAATGTATAATTATACTTTGGCAGATAAAATAGCAAACTCTTTGTCCATATATTTTCCCAACAGAAGATTACCACCTTAACTTCACAGTAACTCCTATTTGCATGATTTCTGTAGCTTGTAACTTTGTATTTAGTGTTGATGCATGCAGGCTGAAATGGTACTAATGTGCAGTTATTTCTATCCGATAGTAAATGTTTCCTTATATTAATAACCTTTTACCACATTTGCCCCAGTTGAATCACTCTGTTGCATGAAAAAGTCAAGAAAAGAGTTATTATTCATTTCCTTAACAGTCTTTGACCTTCTCTTAACAGTACAACTTTATTCTTTAGGATGTGGGAAATCAAAGACTTTGGCGTGGAGGGCTCAGGTGTGTGTCTAGAAACACAGGGAATATTAGGAGGCTGACTCCTCCCGAGAGATGTACCAGGCGCCTGGTGGGGATTACAGACTGTCTCACAGAACCAGTGCAAGAGCTCCTGCAGATTATTTTGACAAAAAATCAGTCCCAGACAATGCAAGAGAAGCAAAATCAGCAATAGAGCTTTAGAGAATGAAGAGGAACTGAGCTAAAGGAAGAGGAAAAATAGGAAGATTAGGAAAGAAGGCAGAGAAATGGTAATTAAATTTTGGGAAAGACATTAAAAATAGAAAATATTAAACAAGGGAAAAACAGGTTCAACAGAAATTATAAGTGTAGAGAAACACTAACTCTTGTGTATGGAAAAAGGCAGTTTTTAAGTAGAAGAGGATTGAAGGAGATCTGCTTTGACGCTCAGAAAGATCCTTCCAATTCTTTTGTAATAAAAAGAATAGGGGGCCGGGGATTTAGCGCAGTGGCACCGTGCCTGCCTCTCAAGCGCAAGGCCCTGAGTTCAATCCCCGCTACTGCAAAAATAAATAAATAAATAAATAAGTAAAAAAGAACAAGGGAAGCTTTTGTGCCTGAAACGTTCATAAATGACAATTTTAGGACTTGGTTTTGAGTATTATTTTATAATCCGCCCCTTTATTATATAGATTTAGATATTCTGCCACTTAAGTCTTAGGGAACAAAACATACCAACCATAAACAGTAGAAGCTAGAATTACTTGGTCATAAATGAACTCTGTTGATGGTTTTTACTCTACCCCTCCAAACTGAGGGTTAGTCACTCAACCATGCTTGATCAATTAACACATGGCCGGGGACGGTGGCTTTTCAGAACTGAGTTACACCTGTTGAAATATGACTTTTGTCACTGGATTCTTGAAGGAGATTCAAGTGGTTGAATTGTATTGAATTGCATTGACTTGAAGGGATTCCAGTCCAGCTTTGAACTGAAGGAAGCGGCAGGTCCGCCCCTCTCCCATCATTGGCCTGCCCCGACGCCCCGCCCTCGGCCGCCATTGGTTCCGCCGTGACGCAGCCCCGCCCCCGACACCCTGGCGCGGCCTGGAGCGCTTGGCTCTCTGTCCGTTGCGGGCCGTGGCTAGGGCTGCTGAGGGAGTCGTGGGTGCTTCCGCTTTCCCTGGTTTCTAGGCCCGGCGCGTCCTCCTCTCCTCCACGGCCTCCTCGCCGCCGTCGCGCAGCCCTTGTCCTCTGCCTGCTGCCTTCCTGCCAGGGTTCCCGCGCATCGTCAGGGACGTGCAGGTGAGGGGGCGGTTCGGGTTTTCGCTCCCTGGGCGCCGGCGGTTTACGCGTGGGGCCTGCGGGGCACACGAGGGTGTCGGCGCCTCACACCCACACGGGGGCGGCGGGCAGCAGGGGGCAGGCAGGGCCCTGGGAGGGTCGGAATTGCTGCTGGGGAGACGGACGTGGGAGAAGGGCTCCCAGGCTGTCGCCCAGGGAATTCCGAGCACTGGGCAGGGGAAAGGACGCTCCTGTTACCCTTTCTTCAGGAGCGGAATGTACACTGCTGCTTCTCCGTGCTCTGGTGAGCTCCTGCCCACCGCCTGACTGAGGCAGGTGCGGTGGGAAGAGCAAGTACTGTACCGTTTTATAGCGCCTCTCATTTTATTATTTTCATGCTTGTCTTATTGGCTGACACACTTCATGAGATGGTTAACAAAACCTCATTTTACTGGGAAGGAAACCGTCTTAGTCACTTTATTGTCACTGGGGCAAAATAGCCAGCACCCTCAGCTTATGGGAGGAGAGGGTTATTTTAGCTCACAGTTCCAGGAGTTTCAGTCCATGGTTGGCAGAGTCAAATGCAGAAACAGCGTTGGAGAAAGGGCCTGGACGGAGGACAGCTGCTAAGGTCAAGACAGTCAGGAAGCAGAGAGAGAAGGGAGGAGATAAACTGAGGTCGTTTCTCCAGCCTCTTCCAACCAGGCCTCACCTCCTAACAGCACATTTAGCTGTGGACTCATGGATTCATCAGTGGATTAATCTACCAATGGATATAACACCCCCACGATCCAATCACCTTCAAACACATAAGACCCTGGGGGCATACCCAGATCTAAACCACAACGGAAACTAAACACCACAGTTGAACTGTACCTGAGACGTAGTACAATATACACTGAGTAAATATGTATGAGTGGAATGAGTGCATGCAATTGTGAAGGAGTGGAGCCTATCCACCACTGCATCCCTGGACCAGAGCTAAGTCTGGGCAGTAGTAACTCTGCAGATGTTGGTCAGAGAGAGAAGTCGAGTGATGTGCTTCGGAACAGGCAATGATGGAAAATTTTTAGAGAATCTGCAACTTTTCCAGGTATTGTTTTAGGTATTGTGAATACAATGCCAAGAAAGACTAGCAAGATCTCTCTGCTCATGGAGCTTAAATTTTAGTTAGGGGAGATAGAAAATAAACTGATAAACAATATATGAACAAGCAGTTTTGCATAATGGTAAATGCACTGACTAAGTGGAAAATTGTTAACCGAGAGACTGGGGCAGGAGTTGCTTTAGATGGCTTCTTTAGGCAAGTCCTCTCTGAAGAGCTTTGCCTCTGTGCTGAAACTTTGAGGATGTAAAAGAAGCTAGTCATGGAAATACTTAGGCTCAGAGGACTATAAGGAAAAGCAAGTCTAATTGCAAAAGCCCTAACGTAGGGAAGAGCTTGGCTCTTTTGAAGAGCATCTTAAAAGCTGCCGTAGTTGAAACATAGAGAAAGTGGTACAAGATAACTTGGAGAGATAAGTAGAAGCCTAATCATGTAGGACTTTGATTAGGCTATGGAGATTTACTCTTGGAATAAGTTTGAGATTTTTTAAAGTGTGACGTGAAACCACTAGTGAACTTTGGGAAAGGAAGTGGTATTATTGCTTTAGCTTTTTAAAAATGTTGTTTTGCGGCAAATGGATCTTGGGCAGGGAGCAAGATTCATAGCAGGAGACAGTGGAGAAATTCAAGACGCCATGAAAGAAGTTTAACATAAAGTGGCCAAAGAGTAGATGTGCGTGAGGTACATTTTGCTGGCAGAGCTTACAGATTTTGTGGTATTTTTGAATATAGGGATGAAGAAACAGGAAAAGTCACTCCTAGCTTCTAGGTTTTTGCTTGAGTGTGAGTTGGTGGCTGAACCATTTGCCAAATGGAAAAGATTAGAGAAGGAAAAAAAGGGAGAAGTTTTATTTTGCTTACCTTAGTTTTTAAAGTTCTGAGTCTTGAGTGTTGTGCAAAGAAAGAGCAAAAGACAGGAGATTAAAAATTGGGAGTCATTAGTATGTAGGAAAAAACTACATAGAGTAAGTGTGCTCATGGAGAACATTCCAGTTATTAGAGGGGAAAAAAAGTAAACAAAGCAGAGGGAGAAATAGCCAGTGAAATAGGAATAAACTCCAAATAGGGTGGTGACATAAAAAGCAAGACAACAATGCATAGTCAGTGGTATTGAATGATACTGAGAGGTCAAGTAAAATAAAAAGAGATGGGCCGGGGATTTAGCTCAGTGGTTCCGCTGCCTGGTTCGCAAGAACAAAGACCTGAGTTTAATCCCCGGCACCAAAAAATAAAAAAATTAAAAATAAAAATAAAAAGAGATCAAGTAAAATAAAAAGAGAGCGGTATGTTGGATTTTGTCAACGCATAGCAGTTGTGTGGGTTTGACAAGTACAATAAAGAGGTGTGGTGAGAAGAAATGTGTATACCACTGCAGACATCTCAAGATATTTTACTATAGAAAGCTGATTATTGGAAGTAATAGAGAAATATGTGGGGTGAGAGAAGAGTTCTTAAAGACAAGGATACTAAGCATGTTTTAAAAACTAGTATGAATGATCCTAATATAGAGCACTTATGCAAAGTGAATTTGGTGTAAGAGAATGTGTCCATCAGATTTTTTTTTTTTGGTCTTATGACAAAATAAACAACTTAAAGAAGGAGGAAAGAGTTATTTTGGCTTATAGTTTCAGAAGTGAGCCAGAATAAATCTTTGGTTTATTTAGTAAATGTCTTAGTCACTTTCCTCGTCACTGAGACAGAATACCAGATACCCACAACTTAAAGGAGGAAAGGTTTATATTGGCTCACTGTTTCAGTCCAGGGTCAGCTCCAGGGTAGAAATGGCATGGCAGATGAAACGCCTTTCATATCATGGTGTCCAGGAGAAAGAGAAAGGAAAGCCAGGAAGAGAGAGAAGCCTTTCCAGGTCATATCCCTCAGTGACCTACCACTTTGACAGTCTCAACCTACTAAGGCCATAGTCAGCTATAACCATCTGTGGATTAATCTAATGCCCCCATAATCCACCTTCCAAAAGCTCCAGCTCTGAATACATGAGCCTTTTGGGGAACGTTGTAAGTCTAAACCTTAACATTCTGCCTCTGGCCCCCAAAAGATCATGTCTGTTTCTCTATGCAAAATGAATTAATTCATCTCTAGGTGTTGCCAAAGTCTAAACAAGTCTATCATATTAAAAAGCCTGAGTCAAAAGTCTCCTCTGAGAATCAAGGCAAACTCTTAGCTGTGGGCCCCTGTAAAAATAAGAAACTTAAAATACTTGCTATATAAAATGACTTAGAGTAAACATTTCCATTCCAAATGAGAAAAGTAAAGGGATAGAAAGGAATGAGACCAAAACCCAGCAAGGCAAAGATTATGTCCTGCAGTTCCATGTCCAGCACCCAGTGCAGTTGTGACAAGATGTGGGCTCCAAAGGGCTTGGGTGGCTCTGCCCCATTGGCATTGACTGTTACCACTCCTATGGCCTGTTTTGTGGGGTGACACCACTCACTGTCCACAGCATTCCTTAGCACATGTTCCAGTAGCATCCCCAACTTCCTAGGGTCTCCACTGTGCTTTTGGCTTTACTCTCACAGGTTTATAGTTTGCCCCTTCAGGGTCACACTACCTGGCCTCTCAGGCCTTCTGAAATCTGGGTAACAGCCTCCATGATCCTATATCTCTTACATTCTGCCTGCCTGTAAAACCAGCACTGTGTGGATGAGGCCAAGTTCTGCTCCCCACTTGAGCAGTAGCCAGGCCCCCTTCAATCATTGCTGAAGAGACCTCTGAGTACCTGGATGGCTAATCACTGTGAAACATCCCAGTAAACGAATTCCCTAGGCAGTCCTTCTCAAACAGGGAGCTCAGGGGTTCCTTTCCCAGATGAAAGTTTTACAGTTTTACACCCTTTGTCCTAGGAAAGATGGGGTCTTGCTGATTTCTGAGATACCCTCTTTTCTATTTTCCTGATGCAAAGTACTTGTCTTCTTTTTAATGCTTATCTTTTCAGATCATAATCTTTTTGCTTCAACTTCACAGGCTTTTTCTTTCTGGTAAAAATAAACTTTTCAGATTTTTCAAATCATTTATTTTTGCCATTTGTTCCTGATTTTCAGTGTACATTTGACTAAAGACAGTCAGCAGTATCCATGCCACACCCTGAACATTGCACTACTTTGAAATTTTCTCTACCAAATTAATTACTCTGCTGCCCTTATCTGTCTCCCTTGAAGTCTCAGGATGTGAGCAAAATGTAGACAAATTTTTTGCCAGAGCATAACACACATGGCCTTCCGTCCAAATGCCAGTGGAATCTTTGTTCCCAACTGAAAATTCCTGAGCTTTGTCTTTACTGTCTGCATTTCCTAGCATTCTTATCTTCTGACCTTTGACCAGAATCTCCCATCAAGCTCAGGACTTCTCTAGCCAGCATCACCAAACCTTTCCTAAGTCCTCCCAGTAGCCAATTCCAAAGGCTTCTAAATGACATGGTCAGATGCAGTTACAACAACAACTCCATTTCTCTCGTACCACAATCTGTCTTAGTCACTTTCCTCATCACTGAGACACTATTCCCAACACCCACAACTTGAGGGTGGACAGGTTTATTTTGGCTCATAGTTTCAGTCTATGGTAGGCTGGCTCCAAGGCAGAAACGCCATGGCAGAGTGGTTCTTGTCAAAAGCTGCTCTTGTCATGGTGGTAAGGAAGCAAAGAAAGAGAAAAGGGGCCAAGGAGGGAGATAAACCCTTTCAGGTCACATCCCCAGTGACCTGCCTCTTCGAACCAGTCCCCATCTTCTGACAGTAAATTTAACTCTGAACTCATCGATGGAGTATAACACCTCTAGTAATCCACTCACCTTCCAAAAACCTAACCTCTCAACATATGAGACTTCTGGGGAACATTCTGGATCCAGACTTTAACAATAAGTCATTGTTAGCTGGTTCCATTGTTAGCTGGGCCTGTGGCAA